ACTAATTTTACCTCTGAAAACAGGTGACCCCCACGGGGGGAGGACATTATGTCGGGTTGTGCTCTGTGAGGGATGTTGAAGCGTACGTTGATGTCACAGGACTCAAGAACATGGTGCAATATCACTGACTGACAACACCCTTATCACATCTCTGAATACGGTCCATTTAGAGTTACGTTTAATTAAAGTCTGTTCTAGTATGTTACTTTGTGGCTTTCTGTGGCACAACCTGTTAGCTTTCTGTTTGTAACGTTTTTTCTTTTAATTTAGTTTAGTTTTAAGTTTTAAAGAAAAGTTATAGTAGAGGTTTTACGGCGCTCGCAACTGCATAAGATCATATGAGCGCCAGAAGATTAGAGGTGTTACAAGAGAGTAACAAACATAAAAAAGAAGAAGGGGAGGCAAGGACGATAGATGTTTGATAGGAAAGAAGAAGCAAACCACACCAGAGCACCCGTCAACCACCCACAGTTTAGTTTTCCTTAAAGTTTTACGACATTTGCAACACAATATGGTCATATAATATTATAAGTGTCGAAGATAAGAGATGTTACACGCAAAAAAAAGGAGGAGGAGAGACCAGGACGATAGATGTTCGATAAGAAAAAGGGAGCAAACCACTCCAGAGCACCCGCCAACCACCCGCAGATGTAAGCAGTGCAACAAGTACACCGAGGAATTATTTCACAGAACGAGAAAAAAAAACAAAACACTTTTATACCAAACACCCAAAATTACACCCAAACACCATGACCCCACATCAACATGACATAAAAAACAACAACCCCATCCTCAAATAGTCATAGTGCATGAAGGGAGGAGAAAGGGGCGAACAATTCTACCACATTTCATTTTAGTAAGAGTTTTACAGCACTTGCAACACAATAAGGTCACATAAGCGCCGAAGATTAGATGTATTACAAGAGAGTAACATTCACAAAAAAGAAGGAGGAGAGATAAGGACGATAGATGTTTGATAGGAGAGAAGGAGCAAACCACAAAAGAGCACCCACAAACCACCCAACAGCTCCGTTGTAAATCTCGAAGAAACAGTATGATGTTTGCTCCCGACAGGATCACACCGAGGGAGGAAGGCGAGACAAGGATGACAGACGTTTGATCATAAGAAAAAGGGAGCAAACCATGCCAGAGCACCCCGCCAACCACCCACCTATCACATTTGAAGTTTTCAATCTTATACAAACCCAATACTTGGAAGCAACACAACAGACAGAAGCCTCCATGTCAAGGAACATTTCTCTAAAGATTAAGTAGCCAAAAAACTAAATAAATTCATAATCGTATAAATATTTTTCTGTCAACTGAACACAATGTCATTGAAGTAATCTATCGCAATATCACTTTACCCTTACAGCATCTGGCTATTTTTAGCCCTCACTCCCTTCTCGCCTGGGTAAAACTGGAGCTCTTCATTCCTCAGACCCGCCCAATTCTGAAAGCATCTTTAATTTTTGACAGACTGAAAACCAACTTTTATTACTTTTAAAAGAAACTCTAAAAGTTAACCCTTCCAGCCCCAGCCATTTTTATGCACTCTATCCCTAACCCCAGTCCCAGTCAATACTGCAGTATTTCAGAAAAAGAGGCATGTATTCTAAAAAGTGATGTACTGTCTTTTTAATGAGGTTTAGATTATAACATTTAAAGGTAAATGAACAAATATTATGAAAATTAGTTGAACTAGGATCACTAATTTTGAAGAAAAAAAGCGTAAATTCGGTACCCCCAAAACTGAGAATATACGCTCTTTGGCCGGTGGGAGGTACAAACGCTGCTGAAAATATGCGCATGGGGCTAGAAGGGTTAATTTAATATGTAGAACATTTTTCGGTGACAACTGGCTAGATTAGGGTAAAAATACAGAACTAGCTTTGAGATAATTGTCTCACTGACAGGAAAATATACACCTATGGGCAGGGGGAAAGGGGGGGGGGATAATTCTTGTAGGAAATGTACACGACCAGGGGTGTAAGGGTGAAACACCCGCTGAATCTTAGACCCTCAGTAGACAGTCTGACAACACTACATGATGACACGCGCTGGACACAGAAACCAAAACAAGATAAATTTTTCTCCAACTCTCACCTCACAATTAGCACACGTAGTACATATATGAGGCAGCGTGGTGGAATCAAGCTCTCGTCAAAATGATCAAAATGAAGAAACTTGCATTTTTCTGCAAGTTTGTACATTTTTATCAATTTTTTTTTTTTCTCAACACTACACCTTTCGTGCCCAATAAAGAACTCATTTCTGTGTGGAATTTTCATAAAAACAATGATTAAAGGCATAAAAAAAAATTAATTTTCAGTTAACACGGACTCTTAAGCTAAGGAAATAACTAATCTTTGGCGGCCATTTTTTCACTAATTTTACCTCTGAAAACAGGTGACCCCCACCTCCTTCATTCGCAAATATCTCGACTTGTCTTCAAGATAAATGGATACTTTTTTACCCAAACAAAGACAAATGAATAAGCTTTAAGATGATACCAATAACTCTACAAGCCCAAAAATTGACGAGAGCCTGATTCCACCGCGCTGTCTCACATATAGTTTTGTTACACAGGCATCATGCATATCATTCATCAATGAACAAATCGTAGTAAAAAAAAAAATTTTTAAAGTCTAATTGTCTCGTTTGACATTGAAATGCATACACAAAAATACCCTTTTACTTTTACTACTACTTTTTAGTTTCAGTAAGATTTTTACAGCTCTTGCAACACAAATAAGTCACATTGGTGCCAAAGATTAAAAAGTGTTACTAGAGAGTAACAAACAAAGAAGAGAAGGAGGAGAGATAAAGAAGACAGATGTCTGATTTGATAAGAAAGAAGAAACAAACTATAAAATTATCTGAGTGCCCACCAACCAACCACAAATACTATTTCAAAACTACGACAAATATATATATGCATTATCAAAATTGGGTTAGGAAAAGAACTAACAACAATATTATTGTGTCATGACGTGTTGGAATCAGGCGCTCCTCAATTTTTTTTTAGCAAAGATAGAGTTTTAATATCATCTTAAAGCTCGTTCATTTGTCTTTCATTTGGCGAAAAATATACATATCTATCTTGAATAGAAGAGGATATATTTGCATTTGCAATTGAAGGAAGTGGGGGTCGGCTGATATGAAAGGTAAAATTAGCAAGAAAATGGCTGCCAAAGTTTGGTGACTTCCAAAGCTTGAGTGTCCTTGAAAACTGGAAATTCAGACGTTTTTTCGGTAACATTCCCATAGAAATATGTTTCGACAGAAAAGAGCATAAAAGGTGTAGAGGAAAAAAAAAAAAAAGAAAAAAAGAAAATTCGAGCAAAATTATCCAAGGCCCAGAAAAATGCAGGTTTCTTTGATTTCATTGTTTTGACGAACGCCTGATTTCACTACGATGTCTCACAACTGGTTGGGTTAAAGGATACGACATGGTGCGGGGGTAGGGGGATATTGATGAGGAAATAGTTCAGAACAAATACAAAAAAATATAAATTTATATAAATTTTTTTTTTTACAGTGCTATTTGATGATGTTCAGAGGCATATATCTTTTCAAGAACAAAAGTTCCACGTGCCCAAACATACTGTCGGTGCCCCACGCTGACTCTGTCTCCAACAAACTAGGTCAAACACTTTGATCTTTTGTCTCTAATTATATTATTTATCACAACCGTATATATATACAAGTGAAGTCGCTACCTCAGGGTTACAAAGTTCTATCTAACATTTTTTTTTTCCGTTTTGAGTTACTAAGACCATGAGGTCAGAAGCCAAATGTTCTATCCGCTCTATCAAAATCATAAGATTATTCAGATTCGTTATCAGGGGTGGTCAAAGAATTGCATTAGAAAAAGCTTGACCTGCCTTTTTGCGTCACATTTCTCAAAACTAGGTACTGAGCAGATAGAACTTTGTAATTCTAGGACAGAAATCAGGGATAGACCTATTATATAATAAGTAAAAAGAACATTTTACACAAAATTTTGAGCAATTTTGGAAGATACTAAGATAAAAATTACCCCCCCCCCCAAAAAGCATTTGACCAAGTTTAACAGATACACTGTTAGAGTCAAGTAACTGTGAAATTGAAACCTTGATACCACAAGCAAATAATATATCCAAAAACCACACACACAAAAAGGGGGAAAAAGATGGCGTTCACTCATCCTGGGAACAACGGACACACAAAAGGTACATATGTAATTTTGTAGTGTTCATCAATCAGGACTTTTCATGTTCCCATCATACTTCCCAACACCAGTTCTAGAGAGCCACAAACCTGGTAAGGGCATGCAAATATCGCTCGTCTCAGTGTCAAATGTACAAAGTCAAAGAAAACAGTGTGAAGCAGTTACCTACAGCCGTCCTGCTCACTCCACATTTGCACACATGTCACTTTTTTACGCTGAAAACAATCGGGGAAAATTGTTTCTGTTCAGACACTGTCTTTATATATATAT